AGACACACACTCCTCCTCCTCCTCCCTGCCTTTGTTTCAGAGCTAATTGTTATGCATTACATGCCCTCTGCAGGTTGTCTGTCAGTGTGTGTGTGTGTGTGTGTGTTTGTGTGTGCGCGTGCATCTGTACGTGTTTGTCAGTGAACATGAGGCTTGAGACGGTCAATATCCAGTCAATAATCACGATCATCTATCAGGCCTGTTTTGGTGTTCTCACTGTTATTGTGTGTTTCATCTCCCATTAAACACACCTGCCTGGAGTCTCTGCACTGACTAAACACATTTCTCTGTGTGTGTGTGTGTGTGTGTGTGTGTGTGTGTGTGTGTGCGTGTGTGTGCGTGTGCGTGTGTGTGTGTGTGCGTGCGTGCATGTGTCTCTACTCACAGGAATTGCAGTTGATAAAAACGGACTCATCTACTTTGTGGATGGAACTATGATTAGGAAAGTGGATCGTAACGGGATCATCTCCACAGTGTTGGGCAGCAATGATCTGACCTCTGCACGACCTTTGACCTGTGACACCAGCATGCACATAAGACAGGTAACCTTTAACCATTAAAACCTCTTTGCTTATCAGAAAATATCAGACTATGTGAAAATATCACATGATGTGATGTGTGTGTGTGTGTGTGTGTGTGTGTGCGTGTGTAACAATGAACAGGAAGTGAAGTGTCACCTTTTCTTCTCTGTCCTCTTCCCTTCCAGGTGCGGTTAGAGTGGCCCACAGATCTAGCCATCAATCCCATGGATAACTCGATCTATGTGCTGGACAACAATGTTGTGCTGCAGATCACTGAAAATAGACAGGTATCATGTAAACCTTTGCTGAATGTATATTTTATCCATCCATCCATTCATTTTCTTCCACTTATCCAGCACCAGGCTGCAGGGGCAGCAGCCTAAGCAGAGGCCCACCTCCCTCTCCCCAGCCACCTCCTCCAGCATATCAGGAGGTACACTGAGGCATTCCCAGGCTGAGAGATATAATCTCTCTCTGGTGTCCTGGGTCTAACCTGTGGGCCTCCTCCTCATGAGACATGCCACCCAGGAGGTGCCCAGGAAGCATCCTTATCAGATCCCCAAACTGGCTCCTTTAGATATGGAGGAGTATTGGCTCCAATCGAAACCCTCTGACACCCTGAGCTTGTGTCAGAGAGAGGACACCCACCCATTCTGACGTAGCGAAAGTAGAAGCCTTCTGCCTGCTTGACAGACATTTTATCCATGTAAGCTATAAAACAGAACCAGTGACAAAGGGAGTGGAGTCCAACACTCACTGGAAACAAGTCCAACTTATTAATGACAAGTGCGTTTGTACAGGGACCAAATGGCCTGTAACAATGGGCGTGTAATAATTGTTATCATTACACGTGTAATAATAACAATTATTACAAGTGTAATAATAACAATTATTACAAGTGTAATAGTTGTTATTATTACACTTGTAATAATTGTTTTAATTACAAGTGTAATAATTGTTATTATTACACGTGTTATTGTTATTATTACACGTGTAATAATAACAATTATTACACGTGTAATGATAACAATTATTACACCTGTAATTAAAACAATTATTACACGTGTAATGATTACTTGTGTAATAGTTACTTTTTTGATTAACAACCTCAACATTGATCACAGCAAAGGGTGGAAATACCTCCAACATGCACAAACATCTGACAACACAATTAATTTGCATGAAAGTGTCCAGGAGCGCATACCTGATGATATCATTACAAAACTCATCATCATCCTGCAACCTCGTGTTTTCTGCACTGATGGACATCCTCATATTCAAAAATGGTGACTGTTGTCCAATAACAGACAACCACGCAGGTTCAGATCAGGCCCTTCATGCTCATTTGCTCTTTCCAGGTCTCACTTTCTTTGAATTGAAATCTCCCATTAGGATGTTGGAGTCACTAGATGGAGCACCCTTGAGCCGCCCACTCAGTGACTCCTAAAAGGCTGGGTGCTTTGAACTGTTTTTGGTGCATAAGGGCAAATGTCAGGACCTGTTCCCCCACCTGAAGACGCAGGGAAGCAACCCTCACCTCCACTGGCAAAACCCCCAACATACTGGTGGTAACCTGACAACTCTAGACTAGAACAGAGTCGAGCCCCTCTCCAGGAAACTGGTTCCAGAGCCTAAGCCGTGCATTCAGGTGAACCTGGCTATATGTAGCAGCAATGCTCAATCTCACCTACTAGCTCCTTTCCTCCAGAGAGTTGATGTTGCCTGTCCTAATAGCTAACCTCTGTAGCCAGGGATCAGACTGCCAGGGCCTCCATCCCTGACTGCCTCCTCACACACATTGCACCTGACCCCTGTGTCAAGTCTTGCGGGTGGCAACCCTACAGTCTTCTCTTTGGGCCGAGCCCCATGGGCTGAAGCCTGACCACCAGATCCTCTCCTGTGTGCCCCCCCTCCCTAGGCCCAACTCCAAGGTGGGCCCATGGTGAAACTATCCCAGGAGGGGCGCACTGGTCCCATACTTTTTCCCTTGACTTAGTATATATATTTAATATATATAAGTATTGAATGACATTTGTATTTCACAGCCTTCCTGTGCCACAACAACAAATGCACAGTGCTTCTTAATGATTCTTAACTAACATTCATGTGCAAATGTGTGTGTTCAGGTTCGTATTGTGGCAGGTCGTCCCATGCACTGCCAGGTGCCTGGTATAGAGTACACCATGGGAAAGAGGGCGGTTCAGACCATGCTAGAGGGTGCTACAGCCATCGCCTTATCCTACAGTGGCGTTCTCTACATCGCAGAGACGGATGAGAAGAAAATCCACCGTATTCGACAGGTAGTGTGCTGGACAGAATCTCCTTGTAATCATGAATTTTAAGCAGAATCCTGGAAATCTAAGGTGGGATAAATTCAAGCTTTTTAATAAAGTAATACTATCCAAATATGCTAAAAGAGCAGCCAATGTTACCTTATTTAATTTAACTTGTGAAAAATTTCAAATTCACAGATATCACCCTCTTATTTCTAGCAGGTTATCATATTGTTACTAAGTTATTACGATGCTATTACTAATGTTTTTTTCCTCGTGGGGATGTCTTTATTTCTACATTATTATCTCCAGGTTTTATTATCCAACTGCATAAATCTCAGTGTAATATTACTTAAACGTATCCACTGTTGTTACCATGATATTAACTGCTTTAGTAGTAATAACCACTGAATTACCACATTATTACGTTCTTGTTTCGGCCTTGTTGCCCTTCTATTACTACTTTATTACCAAGCTGTAACAGAAAGTGCCACTGTGCTAAACTTTAAGAATAATTTCCTTCTCTACCAAAACTCCAGGTGTCGACTGATGGAGAAATTACCCATCTAGCTGGAGCGCTATCTGACTGTGACTGCAAGGTACCCATCACAGCTACTTCACTGTTGTTTTCAGTCCTTATCGGTCATTCTGCTCAGCTCACTGAAGTACTCGAATTCAGAATGAATGTGTAGCATCCAAATAGTGACGTGTGAATGCAACAGGATGTGAGAAAGTTTCCTGAAGATGTTTCACCTCTCGTCAGAGAGGCGTCTTCATTTCTACAAATCAAATAATGAAGAGTCACAGGTATTTAAACCGTAGTTGTCATCACATAAGTCAGGGTGTGAATAATGGCATGGGAAATTATCACCAGAGGTTTTGTGTGAAAACACAAATTTTCCCATAATAAACGACCCAGTGTGTGTGGTTTTGCTCTCAGGTCCACAACATATTAAATCTCATTCTTATTCCGGCTTGGGAATTCCTCCCAGTTTTCTGTAATTACGTCCAAACCCCCCGTGGCTTCCTGCCAAACAGCAGTTCAAAGGGAGAAATTCCATGGAGGTCCAGGGCACCTCCTCCACTGCAAACAAAAGACTTTGACAGCAAGCCCTACTGCATTAATCCTCATGAATAAACATGGCAGTAATGGACTTTAAGGCACTCACCAGCCCATCGCCCTGGGGGTGGTACAGCTGTGTGTGAGACATGAATGAGACCCTGTGGTCGTCAGTACCTCTTTTGGGATTCCGACTCAGGAGATCACCTCACCTCCTGCACCAAGCAGCTCTGCTTCGGGATATCACATCATCCACCAGAACGTATACAAAGCAATGTCCCCAGGCACTCCGGGGATCTTGTCCTGATGAAGTTCATACCACTGCACTTGAACGGGACCTCCATTAATGGTAATGGATGCAAAGCCACCCATTGGATGGCCGAGTGATTTACCAGTGGACATTCCAAGCAGGATGCAAACCAGGACACATCCGGTGACGAGCACAGCCCATTGCTCCACCAGCTTATTAAACCCAGGCCTTTCCCTCCCTTGAATTAAAGGGTGCTCTTCTAGGACCTAACCACAGCTCTATGCATTCTCCCCTTTTGTTTAATTTCCACCACATATTTTACATATAATGGGTTTTTTAAAAAGTCAAAAACATTTTATTTGCTTTTTCTTGCACCAAGATGCCAGTTTTTTTTCTCCACTATCCCTCCCCTGCAAAATGCAGGCACAAACCTTCATGGCACTTCATGATGCCTCCTCTCAGCGAACCTTTGTAGCATCAGAATTGGAGGTTCTCTCTCTACTAAAACTAGTCTGCAAAATGCAGCACCAACCATTGCTGGTGCCAGGATGCTAGCATGATTTGCTTCTACTCCACCTTGCTGATCATGCTTACGTTAAGTTCTCGCCAATCAATTTTGCCAGCATATCCACTTCACGCAATCTAATCTGTGACCACCTAATCAAGGTTTACAGGCCCCCTCTCTTCACAAGCCTTCTTTGGTGACCAGCCCAGGAGATGCTGCCAGTCCCCTCTGGAGACAATTCGTGCTCAAGCCATCTGCCATTATCTACTAGAAAATATCTATTATGCTGTCAAACCTACATGAGGATGTGGTCCCAACTAGTGAAAGAATAATAGCTTGCTATTTCTGGACTATGCTCTGCACGTGGAGGAGCTCAGCACTGAAGTTTACTGGAAGCCCACACACAGACCAGTACCTACTCTTTGACTCCCAACACCCTCTCGAACACAGAGTTGTCAGGACACTGCAATACCGAGAAGAAACTGTTTCCTGTAAGCCAGAAGGGAAAGGAACAAACACATCTAAAGAAAGCTCCTAAAACAAGTGGTTATCCCGAATGAGCCCTCATTGAACCAGCAAAGATGCACAGGAAAGAGGGAACTAGAACATTATCATTCCAGTCACCCAACCATTCCATTAGAGAAGAAACTGGTTTATCCCAAGGATGAAACTTCCAAACTAAAACTAAGCAACATAGCGTACCAAGGACAGAACAGCAAGGAGTGCTTGGACCTTTACACTGGAGAAACCAAGCAGCCACTCCATAGAACTGCACAACATAGAAGAGCAAGCGCGGCAGGACAAGACACAGCTGCACACCATCTGCTAAAGGACTCAAAGTTCACATTTTGGACTGAGAGAACAGATGGTTTTAAAACGAGTGCCATTTATGTTCACGTTGAAAGCCCATTTTTGAACAGAGGGGTGGCTTACGACAGCAACTTCCACCTACAACGCAGTTTTGAGATTCCTTCGCAGGTCCCTCAACCTCCGCACATCTTACAGCAGGTGACCCAAAGAGGTCACATGATGGGGTTAAGCAAGACCTCACAATGTTCTCACCCAAAGATCTGGTGATTATGACCCACACCTTGGCTAATGTGATGAGGCACATGATTATGGTTGGTCAATGAGAGGCTCAATGACCAAGAGATATCCCCCACTAGGGTTTAAATACCTGGGACTCTCCATCATTTGATTTGTAGAACTGAAGAAGCCTCTCGGATGGGATGCTAAAACAACAACAAAACTCAGTCCAAACTCAGTCCAGTGGCTTGCTTTCAGAGCTCCTTAGACTACCGTAATGTGGATGACTGGGAACCTGAGACACACCTATATGAGACGAGAATTTCTTGTGTTGATGTTGTTCGTTGTCTCTCGTTTGGCTGTCCTGTAGAATGATGCAAACTGCGACTGCTATCAAACGGGAGATGGCTACTCCAAAGATGCCAGGCTGAATTGTCCTTCCTCTCTGGTTGTGTCTCCGGATGGGACGCTGTATGTGGCTGATCTGGGAAACATCCGGATTCGAGCCGTACGACGCAACCAACCACCTACGGGTGTGTATATAAAGTGTATGCACATACAAAGTAGACGTGCAATAGAGGGCTTGTATGTCACGTATGTTGATAGGCAGACAGCTGTCTCACGGATGTGTAGTGAAGGTGATCAGCAGAATAATCAAATAGATTTACAAAGAGAGAATACCTGCGTCAGTTATGCAGGTATTCATGTAATGGCAAATGACATAGACTATGCAATATTGTATGAGTTTAGAAACAATAATAGATAACAAAAGTAAGATAAGAACATAATCTAACAAAGTCACTGGTCTGTCTGGTTTGTGTGTTCAGGCTCTCTGGCTTCAGGTCCCAGTTCCTATGAAGTGGCCTGTCCAGCCTCTCAAGAGCTCTACGTGTTTGATGCAAATGGCACTCACCAGTTCACCATGTCTCTGGTCACTGGAGACTACAAATACAACTTCAGTTACAGGTTGGTGTTTGTCAGGAAACACATCTTTGTGACTGTCATTGCAGCCCTGCTTGGTTACTGAAGCCGCTTTGCCATTAGCACCTACTTGGATCGACTCGCCACTAATAACCATGACTCGACTCGAGTTGACTGGTTTTCCATTACAACCCAGTACTACCTTGTTTGCGTGCTTGTCGTCATAGCAACGCTAATCCCACATGCATCCCACAATGTAATTAATATGCAACATGAACAACAACAAAGGCTTGTGCGTTATTCTCACTTGGGGGAACACGGCGTTGTTTTTTGTAGCCAAGTTTCAAAAATGGCTGTTTTGATTTTTGTAAATGAGACGCTCTCATTGCTCACTGCTGACCAACCAATCAGTTGCATGCAGTGTGACGACATCACATTTTAGTACCTGCTCGGAACTCTTGGAACCCGGGGAGAGGCCCTGCC